GCCCTCCGCCCTATATGGGAAGGTTACTAAAACCCTCATAATAAAAATCAACATCGTGGTTCGCTTTTGAAAAAAACTTGGATTGAAGAGTTTTTGAACAATTCATTTGATAACACCTCACAACAGCATTTCTGATGATTAGGTTATGTTACATGATACTAGCCTAACTTTTAATGACGATTTTAAATTTGTGATTGAATTTTCTGTGTCAGCTCTAGTTATAGCAAAGAACGTAGATAACAAGAAGGGGCAACTCCTTAAAATTGTGGCGAAAGTGCGCAACAGGGGCGTGCCTTCTCTTTTGCCCTGGTGCGTTTTTTGATTGGATGAGAAGAGAAGGCACGCCCCTGTTGCACACTTTCGCCACAATTATAACGAGTTGTTCCTTCTTGTTATCTTCGTTCTTTGGTTATACATGGTGTTCCATACAAAGTATTTTCGATTTTTTTTTTATATGGAAGAAACTGCGTGCCAAAAATCAACGGTAAGTTCTAGCTACTTCAAGCTTCCACTTTATTGGGCTACAAAACTGCATACTCAAAAAAAATATAAAAAACTGATTAAAAAGAGGAAAATTTTCCTGCAACTTTATTGAATTTTCCTGAGTTTTGCACTACGTTTAGGAATTTAATTTTTTGTTGAAGTATGAACCATATTTTTATAAAAAATTAGCGAAAAGAAATTGAAGTAAAAATTGTTGCATATATTGTAAAAAATTCTCTGTGCCAATACTTTTTTTTCCGGTAGTGTAATCAGTGTTGGCACTAATCGATTGATTTTTTAATCAATTAGTTAATTCGATTAAATTCAATCCGATCACAGTTAATCACGATTAATTTTAATCCGATTAAACAGTTAATCATAACCGCGATTAAAAAAATTAATTTTTAATCATTAACTCTTAATTTGATTAAGTAGGTTTGGTGATTAATTACTATATGCTGGAATTTTCCTGTGCACACAAAGCCAGTTAATCGAGTATGGCTAAGTCGGTTTTCTTCATCAATCTAAGAAATTTGGTGTGCATTTTCATTAAGATCTATACATACGTTTTACAAACTAGGTTTTAATATCCCTCTGCACATGTACGCTGGGTTATAAAAGTTCCGAGTTTATGTATTACTAATAACAATAATCATATTTTTTTTTTTATTTTATGTGCTTTTTATAAGCGTAAAACACAAAATAATTACTACAACTGTTGTTTGTTTCCAAATTCGGAAAAACAAAAAAAATCATTATTTAATCATTAATCATACATTTGATTACGATTAATTAATCTTAATCGTCAATCCCGATTAACATTTTAATCGTTAATTTTTAATCGTTAATCAGATTAGCATTTTGCCAACACTGAGTGTAATTAATCTAATTTTATTAAGATCCTAAGTTAAAAAAAAACTTTCTTTTAGAAAACTACGCTGCAGAAGTTGCATCCAGAGAGCTGTTCTGAATGCTCCAACAATAGTCAGCCATCAAGTGTTCGTTTCAGAGGCTTTGATAGCGTTCCTCCATAGTACGAAGGTGAAAGCTATAACTCGTAAATAAGAGTATTTCTCAATAGTACTTTATTTGACGCCAATTCGATTTTTCAAACAGATGGCTATCCTGTTCAAATTAGTTTTAAACCAAAACCGCGGTAAACTTTCTTCGTCTGATACTTGCACTGTGATGCATATTTAAATTATCTACTACTCGTAATTCAAATGAACTTAATTATAAACGCAGGTGGCAACCCTCTTACATGCAGTTTGGAAATAAAGTTTCTGCCAAACAATTTTGCTTTATATTCAGATTGAAGTAGTTTATGTAACATATATTTCTTATATTGAATCTAGCTTTATAACCTTTATAACCCTCTGAAAAATATTTTCAAACCACAACCTCTTTCGTCTGACATCAATTGCAGGATATACATTTCAATTTTCTACCTTTATTTAAGTCGCACTAGCTTTTTGAAACAGTTAACATATAATTAAGAAATAAAGCCTTTTCCATTTCGATCGATACTCATAGTGTAATAATTGATTTAACTTAAAAAAAAAATTGAATTGAATTTTTTTATCAGGTGGCAACATTTTTGTATAATAAAAAGTTATTGCACGTCTACAGGCCAAGCCCTGTAATTTGATAACTCATTTTGTAAAATCGAATGAACAGTACAGATCTGATATGACGATAAAAGTTTTCGCGTATTATGCATTCATATGTATTTACATATCGATGGCTGAGTGGAAGATCGACCTATCTCGGCAGTCAGTTCCAAGACGCTCTATCTCAAAAAACTTTTCAAGAACGCCCTATTTCAGAATTGTTTCCAAAAACGCCCTATATCAGCATATTTTCAATACATTTTGAAGTGAGATAGGGCGTTCTTGAACCGAATTTTGAGATAGGGTGTTTTTCAATTAAATTCTGAAATAGGGCGTTCTTGAAAAGTTTTTTTGAGATAGAGCGTTTTCGAACTGGCGGCCGAGATAGGTCGATCTTCCACTCAGCCATCGATATATACATCCATACATACATATGTACTACATATGTACATAGATTACTAATGACGTCTTCGTTTGTACCAAGAAGAGAGCAATGAGAAGGCAACAATTTTTGTAGAAACGAAAACGCCATAAAAGAAAAACACATCCTCATGAACTGCAATCAACATATGTACGTATATATGTATGTATTTAGTACATACATACGCTGCGATTAGATTATATATATTGCGCCATCTGTTACTCAAAAGCCGAAATACCTACATACACACTAGTATGGGCACCCTAATACACACGTATACATTTTGTCTACTTCTCGCATTTCCGGCGCAAGCACGTGTTCGCAAAATGATGACGAAGTGATTTTGTATGGAAAATCATTTATGCCCATATATATTTGAATAAAATAATCATATGCACTTAGAAAATATCAACCAATACCATCGTACAGTTCCATAAGTAAAGTAACTATTCTTCTTACCGTTTTTTCTGGCAGGCTGTAGTTGTGTTTGTGGTTAGTGTATTGGTGGTTTTTGGTTCAGTGGGTTAGTGTATTTTGAATAAATTGTAATATAAATAAAAGAAATTGTAATAGAAATGAAAGAAATTGTAAAAGATAAGAGCAAATGCCAAGAAACAGGGGATCTCAGCTGTAGGCATTCTTTGGCAATCAGCTGATAGTGTTTTTACTTATGAAACTGTACGATTACGAATAATTCCCATCAGGGATCCGAACATCTGATGAAATTTTTGTTTTCATTCAAAAATGTAAAAAGAAAAAATTCTCCATCAACCTAAAGTTCAGAACTCCGGATCACTGTAGCGTTTCCCTAGCAGAGGTAGCCGCAATATGGAGGCTTCGGATTGTTTGCTCTCGAGTGTATTACCCCTACAATGCAGGGAACACTTGACAAATTGCTCAAGGTCAAGGTACTCCCCTGACCTGACTTCTATATATATTCTAAATATTTCTTTTTAATTAATAGTTTATGTCCAAAAGCTGCAATTTAGTTGAAATCTAATGCAGGGGGAACCAGTTCTCACTATTTTTCGGCCATCTCCCTTCAAAAGTAGTAGTTTACATTATTACAGCAGCTGTTTATTGATTTTAGCAAGTCTTTAGTTTTTAATAAACACAACGTCTTGTATTAAATGGAAAAAGATGAGTATGTTTTCATTCACAAACATTCACATGTTCAAGCAATTCGGCAGAATTTGCCGCAGTGCCGTATTTTGACAAAATTGTATCAAAAAGGTCGATGTAGTACCAATGTACTTCTGAGATTCAAAATGTACCAAAAAAGTACAATTGTACCATCAATTTCATCACAGCTTCCCATATACCAAACGAAAAGAAAAAAATTGAACTTTTGATTAAAGTAAACAAAACCCAAATCATTCGAGAAGTTGGCGAGCATATTGGTAATACAAAAAATTTGCTAATTTTTTAAACAATTTTTCGCCCGAAAATGCTCAAAATTTGTTGAATTTATATAAAATTTGTACACTATAATATTTCTATTGCTCCAAAGAACCTAAATCTCGAAAATGAAAGTTATATCTGCAAATAATAAGTTACTAGAGCACTTTAAAGGCTTAAAATTGATCCCAAAATAAGCCAATATTTACCGTGTTTCCTACGGCGAAAAAAATTTGAGCGAAATCCGCCCAGCCGTTCTCAATTGATACAATTGATACATTTTTCACACCATTTTTATATGTTTAGATTTTGCAGGTTTTCGCAACAACAAACTTTTAATTTAGAATTTTTAGCGATATTACAAGTTTTCGATTTAATGCATTTTTCCTATATAAAGGGTGTTCGAAAAATTTTTAAATTAAAGAAAATGGATTACACCGTCACCAAAAAATGTTAAGTTAAAGCTTAATTGAAGGCCTATCTTAAAGAAAAACGAGCTCATCTCGCTGAAAATCCTCTCGATTGGTGGGAAACTCAAAATTTGAGCGCTCTACCCGCCAGCGTTCTAAGTGAGCAATTGCTCAGTGCAGCCGGCCTTATATACGAGCCTCTAAGAAATCGCTTCATGGGAGCAAAATTACTTTTTTTGAAATATAATATGCCCCTTTTGAACTTTGACTTCTAGACTAAAACACTGTATAGGTTAAGCAGCGTTCGTTCAATGTTCCAATACTTTACAAAATTTTTAATTAATAAAAACGATGGATGGATTATTCCTCGAAAAAAATCTGAAGCCAATCGAAAGTGTGACACCAAATTGTGAAAGAATGTCTCATATCTAGACATATATGTTTTATTTTTTCGATATTTTCTGCACCCATCTCTTTTTAATCATTTTAATATGCGATTCAGGCCATTTCGAATGGGTATTTTTGCATCGACGGTGAACTAATTTAGCACCTCAATGTCAATTTGACTAGACTATTAGATACTTTTCAATTTATTAATCAAATTCCAATACTTATTTAATTGTTATTCAGCTCAAGAATATATTTTCTCTCTCGCTTCCTTTTCCTTTTCGAAAGCAGTGCATAAAATGCTTTCTACAGAAACTATTGGCCTCTTGGCGGCTCTTTTGGCGATCGTATACGTCTGGTGTCGTTACACTTATGGCTACTGGAAGCGGCACAACATTCCCTTTATAAAACCATTCCCACTGATTGGCAACATTCAAGTCATGTTTACGCTCAGCAACAGTTTCTTCCTGTATCTCTCCGATGTTTACAAGGATGCTAC